AAAAGCACTTCACCGAAACATCTGCCCATCTTCCTACAGGATCGATGAGCAGTTAACAATTATACTTACAACAGGATGCTAATCGCCTTTTATGTACTAGGTAAAACAAATACGTCGGATTTGTCAATCTGTCTGTGAAGGTTTCTGCTCAAACGTCATTCAGCCAATCGAGCATTCCTCTCTTGCGATCGGAGTGCCCGATTGGCTGAGGATCGACACGGACGAGATACATGATCGCTTATCGGATGGGTGTGATCGTGTGAAGAGAGGATGATCTGCGAGGGATCGTGTCTGCTCGACTGCATTACACGGCAGACCGAAGTCGTTTGAGGGCATTTGGCAACGTGGTTTCGTTCCAACTCAAGATCCGCATTCATTGCTTGGCCGTGGCAGTTTTTTTTTTGTGATTGACTGACTCATTCCTCTTGACGCATGAAAGTTCACCTTCTGCAACGTGTTCGGTAGAAAGCATTATGATATCCGCCGAAAACAACTAATTGATTCGATTAATAGTTTCGAGAAGTATTAACTGCTGGTTACTCATGAGCCAAATTAGCTAAATGACCATTATTTGTGGATTTGTTTTTGTATAGTCAGGTTAGCACAATGAACTTGATGAAACAATAAATAAATTAATAGGTACATGTATTAAATGAAAGTGGTAACAATAGAACATGAAAGTGGTAACAATCAGAACAGAAATAAACAAGTGAAACAAATTTGATTATGAGTTTAATTCATTGAAAGAGTTTTCGGCTATTCGTCGATTTTAGGAGCACATTGGAATGAAGACGGCGCTTCCAAATGTGTAGCTGTTCGATGAGGTTCAGATGTAATTGGCTAAATCGTGCCTAGATATCGCACTAATTGTAAGGTTTATTCAAGTTCAGCTGCGACTTTGGATGACTTTAAGAATGGCGCTTACATCCGATAACCATTAGATTTTGCATCAATGATAATGATAAATGACGTACTATGCACTTTTTTGGGTTTTAGAATATCATATGTCAAGTTGAGAATTAACCACGTGTCTTACAGACCTAGATTGAAACACTAATATATGCCGTTAGCAAAAGATTGATGGCCGAGTAAGAAGTCTTACTATTATCGTTCAACCTTTCGGTTTTATGCCGTCTTCAGTTCGTCATGACCTTTAGTGATTCAAAAAAGCGTTCCTGCAGATGGCATAATGCCGAAACATTGAACATCAGCGCCATATTTCTGATTATACCTGGGTAATACTTTGTCAACAACATAACATTAGTGTTCTGATTCACTGGCTATCCCCATGCGTCTCATAAACTCAGAACAAATGATCAAAATTGCGAGTTAGCTTTCCTGCCGCCTCCATATCAAACACCCTAAAATATCAATCGAACCCTCTTAATCAGCTTGAAAGTAGATTATCAAAACTCAACAATAACTTTCTACGAGCAATATCGGTGATTAGGAATCAGTGATATAAATGTCCCTGATGTTTTCTACATAAGCATGAGTAAATAAATCTCGCTTTTGTAGGAAGTGTTTTGAATGGACGACGTTCTGTGAAAGTTTATGCATTTTACATTTTTATTGCATTCATTTATTAACCGCTGGTGTGATGATGACGGCTGTAACCGTCCACAGTCGTTGAAAACCACCAAAATGATGACGCTTCACAACCATTAAAGCCGATTCCGTACCGATGAAGAATGTAGCATGTAATGACCATTATGATCGAAAATATTTCTGTAGTATTTGAATAATGATTTCGGCTGTTAATTCACCGACTCAGACCAATTCCACTCAATGTCTATCTTTAATCGTAGTGAATAAAATGGGTCATTTGCAAATGGATACTTCAAGCGGGAAGACTCGCACTTTGCCAGCCAGAGCCATCATGAACGTATGTCATTTAGCTAACAATTTGCATTATTGCGTTCAAATTCATGAGCGGTTTAAAGAATCAGAGTTGAAACGCTGACATTCTGTTATGAAATAAATAATTTCTGTCGTCAGTGGGTTGATCGGAATTTTTAGCAATACCAATCCATATGACCAACAACAAATCTTGCAGTTCAACTGTTGGAATTTTATTCCTTCGAATAATTTATCACGGTTCACCGTCAATCAAAGAGATCCAAAATCTGTTAGATATTGCACTGCCATCTGATTGCAGTATTAAATTGTCGGCGGAAGAAGAGATTTTGTTAATTTTTTAGGAACCAATATTCCTGCCCTTTCAACAACATACTTAAAAATAGTTTCGATTACGAACACAAAATTGCTGTGCACCTAAGCATTAAAATGTGGCTTTATTCAGAACAAACACTATATAAATGAATTCGCTTACATGGCACACCAAATGAACTTCAGCGAATCATTCAATAGATCGTTCTCTACTCATAATACAATTAACAATTAACAAGCGGGCATAAAACATTGCGACATACTAATGCTAGATAGTTATGCGATAAAAGTTGAGGGTACTATCGTTCAGGAGTAACATGAGGTTACTTGAAGCCGCATGAAACAGCTCTATAGACAATCGTAAGAGAGATTTCAGTTCAAACTTCAAGAGAACAGTGAATGCAAGCGATTTAGACATATGCAATGAGATGGTATTAACATTTCATTTCGTTATCTTCAAGCCGATCGAATGTCGTTGTTGGTTTGATGAATTTGAACTCAGCTAACTGGCTGAAAGTGGTACATTTTCGAGGACATCGTAGACGGCTTGATGGAGTCGAGCGTAGGTACGACAGTGCTTGTAGAGACCAATTTTGAGACCATTTGTAACGTACGCAATAGTGAGATCATTAACGGGATCGTACGTGATCTGCTGACATCCGTGACCGGTATGACCGAACGCGTATTTTGTCTGAATTACCAGTTCATTATTTCAATTGTTCTTTTTAAATATCTCATGAACTCACAATCAGACAACATCTCGACTATTTGAATAACTAACCCCAGCACGATGCACATCGAAGAAAAACATGCCGTTCCCTTTGGCGATTCGCTCGTTGAGCAATATGTCAGTTTCATTCACAATGACTCGATTGATGCGTTTTAAAGTTGTCTTGCTGAACAATTGATTCGATGAAATCTGTAACGGTTAAAACAGATATACAAAAAACAATGTCTGAAATGCATTCAAAAAAGTTTCAAATGAACTCGAGATGCAGTAAGAATGATTGCTCTTTTTGTGAATCATTTTAATAATTGATCAATTTTTTTGTGAAGTGCTGACCAAACTGAAGACTTTGCCAAGACTTCGCGCATTCCCAATGCCAAGAGCGGCGGCTTGTTCCAAACGCTGATAGTCCGGGTTGTTCAGGGTTATATGAAAGATCGCTTGTAACCAGTCTGGATTCGAAACCGCTCTTCTTAACATCGTATCCTTTAAATTCATTATCATCAATCACCTATTCATGCACTATGCAATGATGTATTCGAAAAGTGGATGACTGGCAATGTGAAAGATGGACAATAAGAGACACCTAGCGCTTCCACGCAGATTCGAACTTCAGCAAACGTTGATAAAAAGACGATCTGGTTGGATTGTCAGGCGAACGATCATGAACAAACACAACAGAAAATCGTAGTTTCCGGAACAATACGTACTGAATTGCGTATTTGGCGAGACTCGAAAAGAAATGTCAACGTATGGGATCGCAGACCGCATCAAGATGATAGACGCGATATACGCAACTGTAGAAAGTTGCCATTTTGTTAATGAACAACCTGAATGAAAGTTGATTGAAAGCACTAACCGTGAAAAGCCACAAGTACATTCGTAACGATTTCAGCACGTGCAAATCGGTGAACGCTTCTTCGATGCAATTCCATGGAGTTGCGCGACTGATACGTGCAACGCGATGTTGCTCTTTCGAGGGCAATCCAATGAAATAATCGACATCTTCAAATCGATTCATTCATCGAATACAAATGTGATTTCAAGTGATGTGCCAAAACTTAAACAAATTACCAAATTTTTGTGCAATTTCCTCACGAAAGAACTGTCCAATGCCACGTTTTCGCTCGTCACTAGCACGTATCAATTGATCAACAAGCCATCCGTAATTGTATACGTGATAGCCAGTCTTCGTACCTGGCGGCCACTTTGGGTGTTCATTCTCGAAAAGAATCCTTCAATACAGCTCGCTAGTTTGTCAGTTTTCTCATTGTCACAGAATTTCTAATTCCTTTCATATTTCTGGTGTTGTTTAAAATATGAGTAGTTCCATTTTTATAATGGTTTTTTGAACGCAACATTTCTTCAAAGTTCATTTCTGAAGCGTGCAGAAATGTGCGTATTTAATTGAATCTGCTCACCTCATAGCATTATGATCCGCAGCCATTTCCGGTGTTATCGTTTCATCTGTGTAGGCTAAACCCGCCTGGAATTATTGTGGTGCAACTAACCATCAATGGACAAGAGTTTTGTGATACAATTATGATTGTCGTTTCATTCAGCAATATACATCAAAATGAAATGGTACTTAAGATGGACTCTCACCGTGTGTGAAAGTATCATTTGTATGGTAATATTTCCCTTTGAATGCTTTCCAAAAGCAGGCCAATACTTCGTTACTAAATCGTCATAACTCAATCGTTTCTTGTCGACTAGCATGGCAATGCATAAGGCAGCAATCGATTTTGCTGTCGAAAATGTCACCGTTATTGTGTCCTGAAGCAATTATCAATTGGTAATACAGTCTGTTAGAAACTGATCAAATGAAACAATTGATAAACAGTTACTTTTTAAGATAATAGCATAATGATGATGATAATAATAATATGACCTTGTTCCATTTCCTTGCAGCCTCTTTATCAGCGTATCCACCCCAAATATCGACCAATATCTTACCATGTTGATATACCGCTAATGCAGCGCCGTCGTGCTCCCAGCCATCCTCAAAATTTTTTCTAAAAACAAAAATGATAAAAGATTAAACTGATTGAATCATCCAGTCTGAGTCGTGCTATGATCTGATTTGTGCCTAATTATTTACTCAGATAATATCATTAAGAATGACGATGATAATATTATCATTGTTATTGCTAACAATAATAACAATAATTGATAAAAAGTAAAAATAAAACGATAATAATGATAATGCAACAGTAATAGTGAGATAGTACTTGAATGCATCAAATACGCGTTTGTATCGGTTATCGATGACCTCACCATCGGTGTGTAACGGAAGACGTGTGTAAAGGTTTTGTTGTATTAAATAGATGAGTACTGATATAATAACAATACCGATCGCATTTCTTGTGATAGCCATCCAAACGATTGATTATTATGATCTGGATGGATGTAAAGCAGTTACTTGATAAACTGAAAATGATTAATGAGGAATGATACTTATTACCTTTTAGTGGATATAAGCGAATTAGCCATTTTAGCAAAAAACCACAAGTGTTGTCTAGCAGGGCGATTGTTTGGGAAAGGTTGAGGAGAAACGACTTAATTGTTATGAGTTTAATGCAAACATATCAAACTGATATGATTTTTAAAAACCTCACGAAAAAGAGTTTATGATGTGAAAAAAGAATATTTTTCCGAGAGTAGGGAATCATTTAAAATCACACCGTCTTGCTACAAACATCATAGCAGTTGACTATAAAGTTTAAGATACGAAGTATAGATTTCGTTAGTTAGTTTGCACAATCTATGTTGCTATTGCTTCTGCAAACACAACGAAAGAGATGCAGATGTTGTATTACTGATAACAGCACGGTGAATATTGCTATTAATGATTATGTAATGATGATAAAAATAATAACCGTGCAAAAAATCAAAATTGCAAGGAACATGAAAATAAAAATGTTACGTAGACTATATCGGGGTTCGATTAGAAGTGAAGATAAAACGCTCGATCGAGGGCAAAGCACTTTGTAAGATGGAACAGAAGGATAAAAAGAGTGACCTCGTTGTAGAAGTAGTTTCTAGATGGAACAACAAAAGTCTGTAGGCGAGAAGAGGATATTATTCATGTTAATAATATTATTATTACTCATAAGAGATTCACTTTGTACCATTCGGGATGGTGTAATTAAGCATGAGTCAATCAATTACGTAATGTACGTACAAAAGACGATGCCTACTCACAAGTACGGACAATTACGATGCTCCACTCTAAAATCTCGGAGTAGCAGACGCGAAAGAAATTTCATATCCCTCCGAGTGTGACCTCGTTTATCCGTATTATTCTCTCAAAGAGTAACATAAAGCATTAAACCAATGTAGTCATTATTTATTCAACTAATAATCTAATCGAAAGTATGAAAAGAAAAAGCAATAATCAAAACGAGAGTCTTGCTCGATGAGGAAAGTTTTACTCGAAATTCTTTAGTGTACCAATGTTGAATCTGATATTCTTTGATCTAACAGCTTGAAGTTTTAATCAAACGAGTAAAAGCTGTACGAAATGTTGAACTGAAAGTGATTTTGTTCGGAAATATAAATGCGATAACTAAGAACTAACCAATTTCTATCGTAACGGTTCCTTAATTTGTTGCTCTGTTTTGGTGCTATTCCAGTGATTTCAGTTCTAAAATTTTCGTTGCTTTTGTCACTGCTATTACTGTCGTTATTAAGTCGTATTATTAGTATTGGAGAAATCATTCATTGTCGTCATTATTTGCTACGGATAAAGGCATTGTTAATGTGGATTAGCATTGAGATACGCATTTTCGAATGATGATTGCTGTAATAAGAATATGAAGAGAAATAAAAATTAAGATTCATGAATGCTCTATCAAATACATAGCACGAAGTTAGAACTTTTCTCACATTTGATTGTGGACTCATAAAATCATCAGAAAATGAGCAAATTCGTTCAGTACTATTCATTTTCATGTGCCCATCTTCTCATCATTGTTCTATTCAATGGCAAGGTCTTGTAAAGGAGGCACACAAACAACGAAACATTTTATCTAGAAATCTTATTTCCCTTGTGACGTCGTCCCTAATTATGCTCTCTATTCCGTGGGATATGTGTTGTTTTTTAGTTGATTGTTGTTTTTGTTGTCCCCATTAAGAATTCGCTTTGAACTGTGAGCAAATTTCGTGAGCTGATCAGTGAATATTTTGCTGCATGATAAAATCAAACAGTTTGACGATCTAAAATCGTTGCCATTCCATCCATCATGCAAATGAATGTTTCTCGAAATGAGTAATTTCACACTTATTTAGATCGACTGCAATCACGTTGTGCCAATGTGTTCCAATGAACAGTTGTGATTGTATCGGATATAGTGGAAAGGAACTGTATTGCAAATGAGGAAAGGAACTGCAAATGAACTGCGATCATCATCTCAACGAACAAATCAGTAATTTATCATGATGTCCTAGCATGATATCCTTCTTGACAGCTCATATTCTTATTATAAAAGTTTCTCGAGTCAAACTCTTATTCAGTCATAAGAAGTCGTAGTTTAATCGCACCACATTTCTTCCGACTAGCTCACTTTGATCGTCATGAATTATCATCATTTGGGTGTGCTTTTATTAGTTTTCATCTTTTTTTCCGTCGTAAAGACCCAAGTAAGAGTTGCACCAATAAGAGCAATCGAAAGGATATTACGGCCCAAAGCTCAACCAATGCCGTCGATAACGGACGTCACTCCACGAAGGTTACTTGCTAATCACCAGTCTTATCACCAATCAGTCTGTTATCATCACGGCGTTTAACAATTATGAATTCCAGTGACGTAGACAACGGAATTGTGGAGAAAAGCGAAGAATTCCAAGAGCCCGAATCATTTCTGGAAGCATTGCTGCAAACAGATGATCCACATCGTGAAGAGTACTTCGGTGATGAATGGAGCAGGTTCTATATCTACTGCAGAACGTGCGGGAGAATTGGCTAGAATTTCAACGATAAATGTTTTGTTCTGTCATATTCCGCGTTCATACCGAATTTTTCACTGATTGTGAAATAAATTATCAATTTGAAAAGGCATGTATTGATTTATGCTGTCCACATCTTCCTGTCAATACTGAACGAATTCTGAAATTCTGTGACATTACGGATCATATGATGCCACAATAATGCATATCTTTAATCAGTGTGTCTTTCAGTTCCGAAACTCCTATTTATATCATTTCGCAATCCATTTTTACATCTCGTGCAATTCATTTTTTTCTGCTGAAACACAAGTCACCTCAAGAATTTAGGATGCGATTTCCAGCGTTGTCATAAAGAAAATGATTTCTAAACTTTCATTCTTAAAACCATTTCGCATTGCATACGTGTTTGTACGCGGCCCTTTCAATCGAAACATCATTCATCATTTAATACAAAGACATTCAACATCGAAAAAACCATCATATTCACGAAATTTTAGCGTGCTCATAATATTGACTTCGAATGAAGCAAAATTTTTGAAATTCCTTTCTAAAATGACAACGTAAAATTCGTAAGTGTAACTCCGAAATGCCCTTTTGAACAAACTTTAAAATGAATAATTGAAACTTGATATCTGTCATCGTCCTTGATATTGTGACATTAAAAATTAGCAATTAACAGAAAGAACGCTCTGCTCTTTTATACGTTTTATACGTTCTAAATTTTCATTTTCATCAAGTCGTTCTAAACGTTTTTGCCCATTTCATGCGGAACCAAACAATACCAAAAACAATTGCTGACCGAAATGTCTCTTCAGCACCTTTTCACGTGCTCCCGAGCACACACATGACAAAAACTTGCGAGCACAATACCAACCACTATTCTCATGACGTTAGTAATTTCGAATGATCTTTTGTTGTGCGGTTTGATTAACATGTAGGAACATTATCACATCGCTGAATGTTGACTGTAATTTATCATTATTGAATAATGATCAGTTCCGCCATACCGAACTACCGACTACAAACTGCTGTCTCGCGATGACTAGCGTCAAGCGAATGTGCCGCGGTGATAAGTACATTGAAAATACTCAAACATTATGCGCACTACAGGTTAGGTGAGTACAGCTAATTCATTCTAAAAGGAATCAGTCCAAACGATAAAAGTGCTGTAAATTTAGATCAGTGTACAACTGCTGTCACTAGACGATTCTGCAAGACAGTTTCAAATGGATTTGTTTTTGATTATGTTCGAATTCAATGAAACAAACAAGGCGAATATGTTTTCATATGCATGAAAATTATGCATGTTTCGATACTGTTTCATAATGTATGACTGATTCCATGATGAATCGAAAATTTATAATGGAGAATGACTGGCTGTGGTGTCAGCGAAATTAACGAAACAGTGAACGATTTCTTCGAATCGAAATTGAACAGATGGGTGGATGACTAAACAAACGGAATCTTCATTGAATGGACAGATAAGAAGTTGTTATATTGTTCAATTGATATTTGATCGAAAAAATAATTTTGCATACTAACTGATCATCAAAAGACATTGAATTAATAACGATCATTTGAAGCCATGAAAACCATGCTACGTCATCAGAGTTGTTTACGATTATCGATGCACTTCAAGAAGTCATAAATCACCAGTTCTTTCGTTACGATTTTTTGTGTGAAAAGTAATGGAAAATTTTGGAGAGATGAGAAAACTTCGATTCATCTGCAAAAACATAGCGAACACTCCTCATAAATCATATCAGAACGGATGCATTCGGCATCACCAATCGTTTTTCTTTCAAAAGTGCCTAAAAATACATAAAATCGTTGTTGGCGGTCATCAGCGTTCCGGTTATGCTAACGGTGTGATGGTCGTGATAACGTGAATACATGATGATAACGTTGTCGAGAATAATCATAAATGATTCAACTTCTGATTCAAAATATGTAGAATGTTTGGGAGTTTCATTGTTTAGTGGAACAAAGTCACGAAATAGACTGTTTTCAGTGTAACTACTCAGTTATAAATCAAAATAAATACTTGTACATCACAAGACTGGTTGTTGGCGTTTTAATCACTGAGAAATTTTGCTTCATATTTGCACACTTTTAATAACATCAACGAGGTCATATTTGGACCACTGAACCGCAAGAAAGCAAACTTGCGATCTGAAATTCGAATGTTTTTTTTTCATATCAGAGCAATTACCGAAAATCAAGGTTTCGAATTGAAATGCTTAACACAGTGGCACGTAAGCATAATCTTCATGTATACGAGAACACATTCACTTTCTTTGTTTCATTGAATTTGAATTACAATAACTCGAAAAAGTTTTGTTCGAAAATTTCACAAATTTATTCTCTTGCGCCAGGGCTTTTATAGGCTGACTGCTGTGACATTCCCCTTTAGTTTTATACACGGTTGATTCAGAATTTTGATTCGATTAAGTCAAATTTTCATTCGGTTATCATCACTAACAACATAAGAGATTGAGCAAGCAAATGAAAAACACGAGGAATATTCATGCAAAACGCATGAATGAAATGCAGGAATATTCATACAGAATGCAAATGCATCATTATGAATATGATGAAAGAATTCAGCAAACGACACTTCATTACGAACACATTTCATTTCAGTTTGTGATTACTCACTGAGAGTTTTTGCTCTTAATTGAGCAAATTCAAGGGACACAAGCACGATTCTAATGATGATAGTGCTCAACGCATGGTCACTATTTCAACGCTACAATTTCAACAACCTAAATTACAATTGAAAAGAGAGATGATGGTATAATAAGTGATGATTTCACTTTGCAATTCAGATGATGGAATAATTCATCATGAATGAGTTCATCAATCGTCAATCGAATTTTTACAACTCAATTTTTTGGAACTAAATTAATTTCATCAATTCGCTGAACTGCTTTCAACTAGTCAAAGAATATTTCTGTTTCCATGAAACGATTATTGTGTTGCGTTTGTTTACAGTCATCCAGTTATTCGTTACTTCCATATTTGTTCCTTATTCTTCTTTTACCATCACAAAATTCTTCCCCTTTTGCTCGTTCGATGAGGTAGTTTTGCGCTTGACTACCCTGCTTGAAGTGAGAGATTTAGAGCAGACTGCAGTGCTACGTATGGTCGGAATAGTGCGTTAAACTATTCCTATACTTGATGTACCTTGCTAAAGTATAAGGCAGGTACAGTACAGTAAACTACAGTGCACGCACCTCAGAACTGGTAAAGACAAGTCACTGACTGCAATGACTAGTGATGAAGTGCTCACAGTCCAAATAATCGAACTGATTCAAGGTCAGGTTTTGGCTCAGCCGTATGCTTAACTTTAACCTTACGCCCACTATTAAGCTCAATTTCTGGATATTCAAACACTGACGAGTTCATTCCATATTAATCGATATATTCCAACTCAGCTTGCGACATTTTTCAGAAGACCTGAATGCAGAGTTCCACTTGCAGGGTATTGCTCTCGAACAGTCAGAATATCTCGATATGTTTCATTCTGAACGGTTTTTGTCGTAAATTTATTTTGCTCAGCAGTTGCACACATCATGCGTTATTTAAGTTTGATTCAATCCATCACTCAGTTGATCAGCTATTCATTTACCTATTTTGATTAATTCACTTGTTTTGCTGAATGAAAAGGTGTCTCGCTCAAAGCGAAATAAATAATTTTTGTTCATTTCCTATTGCATCCACCTAATTCCAAAAACAAAACTACAAGGAGGAAATTTTCACGGCACTCAATCATTCAACTTTTGTTTTTTGCTTTCATTTCTCCAAAGTATTCTATGAACCGATATGAAAGGAACAAATATCAAGTCATCATTATCTTTGCTACCTCCTCATTTCATGATTATCAATGAAGTCGTTGACATCATTATTTTTATGATTAATCATTCATTATTACTATTATTACTAATGACAGGTGTAATTATCATTATTATCAATTTATTAGTACCGATGTTATTAGTGTTACTATTGTATTTATTATTATTAATATTATTATTATATAATAATTATTATTATATTATCATATTCGATTAATCTTGATGTTTTTATTGATGTTGGTTTTTTAAAGTCATCCACCCACTCAACATTTCGTTTCAAATGTCAGCACGGTTGGCGAATCTGTTTCAGTTAAATACATAATCAAGCAACTGAATAATTTCTTATTCAACGACCACAATAAAAAATCGTCAGAGTTAATGATACGATATTAATCAGTTTCTTAACGTTTCTTTCTTTTGTCTTTTTACCAATCCTCCTCCATCGTCATTCCATAATTCTCTTCCATCGATGAAAGAAGAGATACGATTGGTTATTCAACGTCAATTTCAAAACGAACAAACACCACCACTATCATTCCAGTATCACTATATAAGATGCTCATCT